CTTCCTGGGAGGACGTTGTGTCACTTTCCCTCTGTTTCTCTCCAGTTAGCACATGCACCCTATACAAATTAAAAAAAATAAAAATGGGGTTAAAGGGTATATTTTTCAGTATTTTCAGCTGGGTGCATGCACATGCACACCCAAAATGTCAAGGAGAGAATGGAGAAGGGACAGCTGTGTGGCCATCCTTGCTGGAGGGTGATTTCTCACTTTCCCTCTCACTGTCTCTCTCTTGCAAGTGCACACCCTACCATAAAAAAAAATTAAAAAAAATAAAAAAAAAAAAAAGGTGGCTAGATCCCACATGTCCTATACCCAGTGGCTTGAAAAACACACCAGGTTCAATGTGCATGTGTGCCCAAAATCCCAAATGGAGAGAGAAATATAGGGACAGGGATTGCAGTGAAACCACCCAACATGGGGGCTGGGGGCTGCTTTCTCACTTTTCCTCTCTCTCTTCCTCTCTCTCTTGTGAGTACACACCCACTCTGGCGAAATTAAAAAAAAAAAAAATAGAGACAAAGAAAAGCTCCTATTTTTAGTACGATCCCAACTAGTACGTATAGAGAAAATATGGAATTTAAAAAACACCATCTGTCAAGCACTGTAAGTAGGTCCAGGTAAGAAGCACCAGTGGAGTCTTAACTAACAGGTAACAGTATGAGGAGTAACACTGCATTTACAAAGTGTCAAATTTTACTCCAACCAGATAAGGCACATACTCAACACTGGGCAGGGAGGGGTACGGGAAGGAAATGTTAACTTTTCAATGAGGAAGACACGCCTCAAGAGTGAGCTAGGCGGGATTCTGGGTACACACTCCAGGACCTCCCTGGGCACGTGTGCCCATGATCTGGACGGGCTAAGACTGAGGGTAGGTGGTGGCATGAGAACCCCGTTTGGGGATCTCTCTCTCTTTCTTGGAAGAAATGCATAAATACCATTAAATAAGAAATGTGACAGGGCCAGTGAGTGGTACCATCAACAGCATGTGCCTCCCGATGGGAAAGGCGACCCAGTGCGCCCCCTGCCAGAGAGCATAACTGGAGCCTGATCAAGACCAAGCCAGAAACTATGTCAGCACGGACAAATACGAAGACAGACTGGAGAGCTGTTTCAGATCAAAGGAGACAATAGAGACACAAAAACTTAATGCAACAAATAATCTTGGATTTTCTTCTACTCTAAAATACATTACTGGGGTAACTTGCAAGATCTGAGTAAGACCCACACATTAAATAAGAACATTATATTAACATTAATTTCCTGACTATATTTTTTGTAGAGAGATTTTCTTTTGGGGGGGTGGAGGGTGGGGAGAGGATTTTGCTACAGGGCATGTGTGCTCACAGAAAAACAGAGTGAGACAGAGAGACAGAAAGCGAGAAATCACCCCCCGGGGGGATGGCCACACCGCAATCCCTTCTCCTTCATTCTTCTCTCGGGATCTTGGGCACGCACACACATGCACCCGGCCTGAGTTTAAGCCACTGGGTCCAGGACTCAAACCACGGTCGACTACATGAGAGTCCAGCAACATAGCCATTACGCTAACTGCTGGTCCCAAGAGATTTTTGTTATAAGGCACATGCACTCACCACAGAGACTGAGAGAGACAGAAAATGAGAAATCACCCCCCGGGGGGATGGCCATGCCGCAATCCCTTCTCCTCCATTCTCCTCTGGGGATTTTGGGCCTGTATGCACACACACACCCACTGTGAGTTTTAAGACACTGGGTCCAGGACTTGAACTGTGGTCGACTATGTAGGAGTCCAGCAAAGTAACCATTATGCCAACTGCTGGTCCCAATTTAGTGACTGTTAATATCTGTACTGTTGTCATGTTTTTAGGTGAAGAATTTAGCGATAACGGCATCAAGTCTGCAACTTATTATTAAAATAGTTCATTAAAAAGTAATCACCCACAGATACATATGAGAGAAAGATAAAGCAATACAGCAAAATGTCAACATTGGGAGAATCTAGGTAAGAGGAATCAGAGAATTCTTTACATTTTTTTTTTTTGAGAGGTTTTCGCTATAGGGCGCGTGCGCTCGCCAGACAGACAGAGAGAGACATAGAGACAGAAAGCGAGAAATCACCCCCCAGGGGGGATGGTCACGCCGCAATCCCTTCTCCTCCATTCTCCTCTCGGGATCTTGGGCACGCACACACACGCGCCCGGCGTGAGATTTAAGCCACCGGGTTCGAGACGCGAACCGCGGTCGACTACGTGGGAGTCCAGCGACATAGCCATTACGCTAACTGCTGGTTCCCAGAATTCTTTACATTTTTAAAAGAATCATTCATTTTATTTATTATCATTATTTTTAAATTTTCTATAGGACATGTGTGCTCACCAGAGAAAGAGAGAGACAGACAGAGAGAGAAGGTGAGAAGGCGAGCTGCCAGGTCCAGGATTCAAACCACGCTCAGCCATGTGGGAGTCCAGTGCCTTAACCACCCTGCCATCTCCTGGCCCTTCTTTGAATTATTCTTTCAATTTTTCTGTGAGTCTGAAATTATACAAAATAAAAACAAAAACAAAGAGAGCAAGGTGCGCATATGCAGAGATATGTAGGTAAACTTCTGGGAATTTGGTCCATGAGGGTGTTTTTCCCCTACAAGCACAGAGGGCTAAAAGGAAACGAGCCTTCACAGTAATATCGGTCTCCACAGACATGCTCTCCTCACAGAGCTTCTGTTTCAGGACACTGAAAAAAGCCGTTTTGAAGGCTCTCTCAGGGCCAGCTCACCGACCAAGTTCTTCAAAAGTAGCACCAACATACCCGAACCTTCTTTACTGCAGACAGATGCTATTTTTCCCTTAGCAAAAGTCAAAGCCTCCTGACACCATGAGTAATTGATGTGATGGGAACTTTTCTGAAATATGTAAGGTAAAAGAAAGAAGAGTTCTTCATTGGAAAAAAAAAAAAAAAGATAGCATGGCCTTATTGAATGAATGTTAAGCCCTGAAGTGGGGGCCCGGGGTTAACTGGTCCCATATGACCCTTCGGTCTGTTCCAGAGATGCTGGCTGAGAACCAGGTAGGCAGGTGGCTAAGGGCCTTGCAAGGTCAGTTCTGTCATATACATCCCATTTCTCTAGTGCACTAGCGCTTACAAAAAGCACTCATATATGTCATCCTTTCTTTAAAATGATGTAAAAGAAAAAACCCTTAATATTGCTTTTAACAGCAATATTACAAGATATCTAGCTTCTGAAACAATGGGATAAACTATAAGCCTGCCTTTGGCTCGCAGTCTGGAAGAGAGAGGGGACTTATCTGAGTAGATAAACACTCTGAGACAAGGACGTCCAATGAAGAGAAGATGGATGTAAATTACGACTAAGTCTACTGCAGAAATAAAATCTCCCTTCCCTTTGAATTTGGCTGGTCTCCATTCCTTTAAGCCGTCTTCCAGACAACTCCCCCGCCCCCAGTAACTGACTTGTTGCTACAAAGGCATGTTTACAACACGCCACAGGCAACGTGGCCTCGTGAAGATGCATCTGGCCCATGCAACACCACCCTGGGCAGGGGCAGGGTCTCCTCACCACCCCTCCCACAGCGCAGCTTCGCTGACTCTCACATGGGCACCATCATTCATCCTTCTAAGAAACCAAGGCATTCCTCTGCCAGGAGAAAACATTTCAGCCAAGAGCCCCCATGGCAAAGGCCGAACAGAGCCTAGCTCCAAATACAAGATTCCTGTTAAAGAAATCCTATTTCCAACCAAAGAAGAATTAGGCTCAGTCCTAGGCTACCTTATAGCTATTCCAGCAATATGTGCACTGACCAATGCCAACAGTGTCTAGAGTCCGAAACAAACTCCACAAAGGCGACGACAACACCCAGAACCACCATCAGCAAGCAGCAGCACGAGACTGACCCCGAGGTCAAGCTGCTCTGTCCCCCACCCCACCAGCTTCCCCACAGTCCTCCATGAGCCAGGCAGAATGTCACTGCAATACCCACACGCCACCCCACCCCCACACCCCTAGATTAGATGCCCTGAGGGGCAGGTGACAAATCAAATTCTCTGGGGCGTCCTCCCATCACAAAATACATCCAGTACCAAAGCAAAAGACAAGAAGCTGAGCTTTCCAGCCACCTATACTTCTTCCCCAGTGGAATATTTCCATGGTCTGTCATTATGGATGGTCTCGGGCAGGAGGAACACATCATTATGTAATGTCAGAGGGCAGGCGACAAGGGAAAGGGACGCCGGTCCATCAACACTCCCTTCCTTCGCCCACCGAGACATAAATTTACCTTTGACATTTTGAGTGTCTCGGTCCTCTGTGGCCTACACGTTCATGGCTGGCTTTTCCAGAGATGGCCACAGATCCCTGCAAATTGCTCAGGCCTCAATGAACTCACTAGTAAGGCCAGAGAGAAATAAAATATAAAAAGCAAAGACGCGAGAAACGTTGGGGGGCTACGGGCCACCAGAAAAGGTTAGAAGACTTGAGAGGATGGAGACCTGATTTCTTACACTCGGATGCATGTTTATTTTTGCCCTGATCTGTTTACACCCGAGACACTGCGAGGCCTTCGGCGTCGGGAGTCATTAGACCCAGCCCCTGAGACGCACCAGGCAGGCGCCGCGACCTGGGCTGGGGCGCGCGCCCTGCATCCCGCGGCTCCGGGCCACCGCCGCCCGCACCCGCCCCGGCCCGCCGCGCCCTCGTC